TCGAATTGTATGCGTTCGTCAGGTATGGCCAGTGTTGACATGGTCGACTATAAATGTACCATTCACGCATTGGCATGATAATTTGTGTAAATATTTCTGTCAGTTCATGCTCAGTAAGCATAAGTGCTTTGATGAATTTCACTTGTTCAAAAATAATTGTCGGTTGTTTATCGTCTGTTGTTGGTGAAAGTAGTTGATAACATGCAGCTGTAGCAAGTTCAAGGTAGGCGACAGCAGGAAAAAGAATGTTATCTTGGATTTTATGATCTTTTAAATAAGCATATTTTGGTAAATTAATATTAATAAGACTTTTCCATGTTGCACTTGTCTGTCCTGTTAATTGACGAACACCAAGTAAAGGATGAATAGGAATACAATTAGCTAGACGTTTGATAACTGCATCTTTTGATTCATACCAACATGGAACAAGATGAAATGAATATAATGGAAAATCATCGAAATGTTGCTCATTTTCTTTCGTAGGTAATACATTTCGAGTATGAAAGTATTGTTCCCAAACATGAGATGATGTTGTTAATTGTGCAAGACTTGTCAATAATGTTATTTGTTCATTTTCTTTTCGTTTTAATGTTGGAAGAATAGTTGGTGGTTGATTTATCGACTGATAACATTCTTGAATCGATGTAGCCAATACTGGATGTGGTGACAGTTCAAGAAAAACACTTACATTGCCATCATTTATAATAGATGTGATAGCATCATAAAATCGAACACATTGTCGCACATTTGACCACCAATAGCGAGCATCGACGGGCGTCTCATCACTTAATCGACCACCAACAACACTTGAATAGAGACTTGCTTGGGCACATTTTGCATGAAAAATATGTTGTGGATCTACTAAAGGAAGTCCTTCAATATCTTTCAGTGATGATAACATTTCTTTTTCAATATCAAATCGATCCATTTGATGAGAATGAAATGCATTTTCTATGCGAAGACGAGCTTTAAAAACATTTGGATAAAATTTTGTAAGTATTTGTTGTAATTCATCAATAGTTTTCTCATCTCCACTTAATGTAACCGAACGAGGACTATTAACAACAGCAACAGAAACAAGATGTTCAATACCTTGAAGAAGTTTTTCTTTTACTTCCTCTTCACTCATGGATACAGCTAACATGCGACCACCTTGTCTTGTATTACGGTTTTGAAGACGTGATCGATGATAAACAACACGAACAGCTTCTTCTAAACTTAAACGACCAGCAACAAAAGCAGCTGCTTGATCACCAGCACTATGTGATATAATAGATGATGGATAAATATTCCATGAAACAAGTAAAGCTGCTAATGCAACTTGTATAGCAAATAATGTTGGTTGAGCAATATTTGTATCATTAATACGAGATTCTTGTTCATTTTTCTTTTCAATTAACTCTTCTAATAATCTCCATTCATCATTATTAATTTTTGTCATTTCCGCATCAATTAAGTTAATCCATTTATTAAAAACAGGTTCACTTTCATATAATTGTCTACCCATAGCCCACCATTGTGGACCTTGACCACTAAAAACAAAACATATTTTCTGTGATAATGGTATTGTTGGACGTAATACAATTGAAAAGCCTGCTAATGTTT